TTTGGCAGACTGAAGGGCAGGTGGCGGTGCTTGATGAAAAGAAACGACTGCAAGATGGACAAGATCAAAATCCAGGTGGCAGCATGTTGCATATTACATAACCTTTGTGAAAGTAATGAGTACAGGGACGAATGGACTGCCTTACCGGCGACCCAGCTTTATGAGGCATCTGAACAGCGTGTAAATTGTAAACATTTTGACAATAAAGCTGATCTTTTGTACAGTGCTTTTGTTTCTCTTTTATTTTACAGTCAAGACAGGCAACATTACAATAGTGTACAGTGTGGCAATATAATAACAATAAGCTGTGCCAGGTGTGTTGTATGCACAGTAAATAGGCTCAGCAGCAAACCCACCGTTATTATATATTATATAACTTCCTGAGACCCACTGCATCCGTCTGCCATAAACACTATGGGAACATACATGTTAGTTTCGGCCCATAGTGGACTCCATTTTGTGTTGTGTTAAATGGGGGGGGGGGAATTCAAAGTTTGCAAATCCCTATGTCCTCCTCAGAGGACAATCATAAAAACATTTAGTTTTAGGTCAAATAATATTTAAAATGCTATAAATTATCATATTTGTGTATGTGCCCCTACCATTCCTCCACAAGGTTGCAACATTGATGAAATTAAATGACAAATAAAGCTTTGCCAGTTTATAACCGATGAAACATGATGGTATCAGAATAATCACTTACATGTGATGTATAGGATGCTACGGTCACTAAAGATAAAGTGTCAGGAGAAATAAGCAAGATACATGATTTGTTTAACAGTAAATAAAAGTTCACATTTTTAATGTAAATAAAATAGAAGTTGTACATGTAAATTAACATTATCAATATAAAATAAAGTGTCAGTTGTATCAAGACTATATAATAACAGTAATAACAATAATATAAAATGAACTGGTGAGCATCTTGTCCTCCGTTTCCTGGGCCTTGGTGAACAGCACCATCTGATCCCCGTGCATCGACTCTTTCACCACGGCACGCCGGTCCTCCAACGCCTGGACGGTGTCAAAGAAATTTGCATCCCGTGTCCGCTTTCCTAACGGAACGTCTACACAGCAGCGTTAAAAAAATCTTGAAACGCTTCTGTCCATTCACTTTGAATGGGGTGACGTCACTTTTCCTCACTTTTCGCCGAAATGCATTGTGGGCAGGCGAGCGGAGATTTTGAGGATTTTGAGGATTCAAAGTTGAACAATGTTCAACTTTTGAGGCTGAGGTAGAAGCGTCAGCCAATCAAATCCCGTGTACGCAAATCTGACCGTTCAAGCTCTAGCCAATCAAACGGCGTGTATGCTGGGAGAGACATACCGCAGGTCATTTCCTCATATTCCAAAAAATGGAGGAGAAATTAGCGGTAGCGAATCAATCACCCGGTGCTTTATGACCAGACCTACCGGGATATAAACCGGAGGAGCCAGGCATGGAGGGAGGTGGCAGAGACAGTGGTAGGTTTTCGCCTGTTTTGGGGAGTTTATATCCAGTTTACTTCGGGCTTTTTTGCTTCGTATGTCGGGGGGGAGAGATTCATGTGATTGGTTGTTCGCAAAAAATCCCCAAGCTTCAGATACGCCCACCTCCAAGATTTTTTTGACGCTGCTGTGTAGACGTTCCGTAAGAGGGGAAAATAAGCAAGATACAAGATCTGTTTAGTCGCCATGTAGTTTACAACATACTAGGAATGTGTTTTTTGTATTTTCACAAATAGAATTAAGGTTTCACAAATCTGAAACTGTGTTATAAAGAATGTTTAGACCCTCTGGGATAATCCAGTCCAGATTTGATGAGTGTAGGTATAGTGGTTTTAGATCAGGACCTGGTCTAATGTGGTCTACATGTAAAAAAAGCACTGAAATCTCCCTTTTTTGTATTTTCACAAATAGAATTAAGGTTTCACAAATCTGAAACTGTGTTATAAAGAATCTTTTGACTCTCTGGGATAATCCAGTCCAGATTTGATGAGTCTAGGTATAGTGGTTTTAGATCAGGACCTGGTCTAATGTGGCCAGGATGCGAAAAAGCACTGAAATCTCTCTTTTTTGTATTTTCACAAATAGAATTAAGGTTTCACAAATCTGAAACTGTGTTATAAAGAATGTTTAGCCTCTCTGGGAAAATCCAGTCCAAATAAATCGGCTATGCAGCGATTTAAGAGGTTCAAACACGGAGGATTGTTCCTTTTTGAAGAGTGCTTCATGTATGCTTGAACTTTGTTTAATGTTGTTGAGGCAAGTTGAAACAGACGATTAGTGCCATGAGTTAGTGAAGCAAATTACAGAAACACTGCACAGTTATTCACAAGACAAAACGTTTTCATAGCGGCCGAGAATATCTAGCTAGCTAGATGTAGCTAGCTCGGGGCCGGTGTTAGCCTATTCAGCCTAGCATGGCTAGCTTGATCTACTGAGCAAATAAAAGTACATCTGAGACCATTATTGTGCAGATTAAAACCCCAGTGCATGTAGTTGATTTTACCTTCGTCGTGGTCGTCATCGTTGGCCACTGAATCCGCCGTTTGTAGTCCTGCCTGAGTTTCTTTATTTTTAGCCGGTGTGGGGCTGTGCACGATTCCCAGGTCGAGTGAAAGCTACTGAACTGGCTTCAGTAGCATTCCCTGGGTCGCGTCCTCGGCGTAGATCTCCAGAAGCGCCGACACCTCATCATTTCTTGATGCTTGCCATAACTGCTTTCAAAAACAAACTACTCTCCGTCGGTGCGTTGGGATTTTGTAGCGAGGAAAAACAATGGCGGCTCCACACAACATTTTCACAGTTGTACGGGCGTGGTTTGCAATTCGCCCAGCCAATCAGCACTGGGGCACTTTTTACCCACAGGAAAGTACGATCTCTCAGCGGGCACTAAAAATGGGGGTAAAAGTTCCCGAGATTAAGTACGATTTTTGGTGTGAACGCGACATAAGGGGTACTAACGGAACTAAACGCGAAAAGTACGGTGAAAAGTACTCCGGTGTGAACGCGGCTAATGGGTCTTGCTCGTTCTTTCGCTTCCCGTCTGATGAAAGGACCAGAGTGTCTGGATCAAGCTAGCTAGTAGCTAGCACGTTAGTTAGCATTACAGCCTTGTCATTTTTATTAGCCTTAACATGAAGTAACATTAAGTAACCCAAAATGTTAAACAGTAAGAGTAGTAGTCATATTTCGTGAACCCTTTGAAGAGTACTGTCACCGGTGTGATCATTCTAGAATACACAATTTAAGCCCGGGGGAGAAATGCTAACGCTAACGCTAGCATTGACGATCTTCTCTACTTCATGCTATCTGCACAAATGGTTGACATTAAACATTAAAACGACCAGGCAGTTCAGAGAGAATCAAAGGAAGGCAGGCAGGCAGCTTTGCATGACATTCTTCAGGACGTGTTTCATTGTGGTGATAGTGAGGGTAGTCAATCGTTTTGTTGACAAGACAGTAGTGACGGCCATCTTGGTGACGTGTGTTGTTGACCAGAGATGTAGTTCATTGAGCGTTTCACACAAACAAATGTGTTACTTCACAGTTTTACGACACATTTTTTTTTTTTTTACTTGCAAAATTATCTTTTAAATTGACAAACATCATATGTGTAATTCGTGGCACAATTCAAACGGGATCGAAAGATAATCTTTCTCTCTCCATTGACTTCAATACATAATTTTTCCGAAATAAGGTCCCATGGAGGTCCACCGGAAGGGGAGGGACTTCGCCACTCTATAGAAAGTACCCTATAAATGATGTTTTTGTATATATTAAGCTTATCACTATCTAATTTAATGCCTTGTGTTTAAATAGACCATAACATATTCTTTGTAAATATCTATGTCTGAATACTTAACTGTTTTGTTAAATAGTTTTTCTTGTCGTGGGACCGCACTTTGTACTAATTCGGTAGAATGCCCCATGTAGTACGCTGCTCTTCGACACTACTGTGACGTTAGTTGTCTGCATCGTTCAGCATAGCGAATTTAAATTAACAATAACAATGCATACAGTTTCCTAACCAGCAAACTAACTATCTAATGTACGAGGATGACCTTATTTTACCAACCTCACACAGAAGCCATTTGTTCTACAGTATAATCCTTCTTAATGTTTTAGACTTCTCTATTATGTTTTAACTTGTATGCTACGGGTAGCATCGTTAGCACAGATGTAGCTTCCTCTCGCTCGTTAGCTGAATAAAAAGACCAGTAAGAAATTGCTTGAATTTCACTTACCGAAGAAACTGCATTCAGGGGCGGTCTGTTTTAACCGCAGAACCATAAGATAAATCCGATATTTAAATTAAGAATACTCCACCAGGCACCAACACAACAAACACGTCCGAGTTCAAGTTGTATTCCCCGGATCAGCCGAGCAGTTGAGCCCCTGTAGCATCCTGGAGCTTACTGAGCTAACGGGGCTACTAGCAGAGAGACAGAAAGCTAGAAGCAGCAGTCACCGCAGAGACCTGTCACTCAAGGTGACCACGCCCTAATTTATGCAAACGCTTTAAGACTTAATATAACTAAAAGGGGTGCGTTATAAAGAAATTCACTCCCTAATCCATTGTCATGAAGGTGGAATCTAACTATGTCCAGAATACGTTTTACTGCATCCAGGGGTAGAAACATGTTTATTTCTGCTGTAAAATTGGGCATTTTAACATGGGGGTCTATGGAAATTGCTCCTTTCTGCAGCCATCTTCTACCGGCCAATAGATGAACTGCAGTTTGTGGCACTTCCTTATGGGCTTCCCGGCTCTTCCCCAGAGTTTGTCGCTTGATCCTACTCGTAATTAAACACTTACTAATGTACTGTTCTCTATACGGTACTTATTCTTGACATGGAGTGTTTTTACAGTGTGTTACTAGTACTTTTACTCAAGTAAAGAACATGAATACCTTTTCCAAACCTGACAGTCTACGGCTTTAATCTTATGTATTTTATTAATAAACTCCGCCCGACGGTGCAACGCCGTAGTTAAAAACGAGCAGCACCGCGCATTTTGATGACGCCATCACGAGCCACAACAAAAACAACAACAGAACCCAGCTGTTAGCAGCTAACTAGCCGGCCTAGTTACTGAACACCGTTATTTTCAGATTTTTTAAAAGTGAGATGTTTATTCGCTGCTTTACACTTACTAATACGTTCCCATACAAAGCAAACTCTATAGAAAACAGCAACAACGCGTTTTATTTATGTTTTATCTCATATTCCTTTGTCTCTTATCGGCTATCGTTAGCTTCTAACAGGATGTCTTTTTAACTGCTGGGAGCCCGATCCACTGAGAGGTAAATACTCCACTGTTGTCTGGATAACGGCAGTGTAGATGGTGAGGGGCTGAGAGTCTATTATGGGATGTTGTTTGGACAGAAGCTGAAAGGTAACTGTCCCCAAAGCAGGAGGGCTCGAGTCATGTTACACACTGATATGTCACTGTAGTGTTTATTCAATTACAATTGAGTTTAATACCGTGATTAAAGTGAGCATGTGTTAATAACAGCAACTATAAGTTTACTCAGTGGTGGAAGAAGTACTCAGAATGTTAACTTGGGTAAAAGTAGCAATACTAGATTGTTCAAATACTTTGTTGCAAGTAAAGGTCCTGCATTTAACATCTTACTTAAGTAAAAGTACAAAATAATCAGCATCAAAAGTACTGGTAACACGTAATGGCCTATTTCAGAATCATATATTTTGATTTATTTAGGATTATGATCATTGATGTATTATTTTCATCCCAGCTGGTAAAGGTTGAGCTACTTTTAATTACTGTTGGATATCACATATATGACAACTTTGATTAAATAGTTGATTTATGTTTAGTATTGGGTAAAATCTCAATCTGAAAAGTAATTGGTAACTAAAGCTGTTAAATAAATGCATGGAGTAAAAAGGTATCCAACATGTAGTGAAGTAGAAGTATAAAGTAGCATACACTGAAAATGCTTGGGTAAACTACCTCAAAATGTTACTTAAGTACAGTACTTGAGTAAATGTACTTTGTTACTATCCACAATGACTTTTACTAAAGTTTACAGTTGTATTAGTAAGTAAATAGAGAATACAATGTTCCCCTCAGTGTTTGCATAAAGGACCCCTGCTTAAAGAGATCACATATTGTATGATTGCATCTCCAGCCACATACTCAGTGATATTGATCCTGTACCTCAGAAAAAAAACTTTGAACTGAAGCCATGATACCAGGTGGAATTTAAATACCACTCATTATTGTCTACAGATTTGTGTTTGCTTTACATGTTAATGAAACTGATATTATATTGTGAGTTCTGGTATAGTGTTCCAAATTCCCAGGCATACACTGAGCTGTAGTAGATACAAATGAGGTTCATTCTTAATACATAAAATGGTTTATTTACTTATGTATTGTATGTTGGTTTGCTTGCTATTTTTGGGTCAATTAAAAGGATTGAACTGTTAAACAAATACTATGTGACCCTCAAATAAGGAATACAAAACGAGGTAGATTCTGATTATTATGACCTCAGGCATGTTGTATTGCCTGCTTTAAGACAGACCATTTCACAAACCAGTGGGTATTATTTATTTGCAGAATCTTAAATGACTTCCTGTCTGTTTATACTTTCTTTCTTTATCTCTTCCCGAAGGCTGGATATATTTATGGCAAAGCCAGACCACAAGACCACCCGGTGGAGAGTCTGACCTCCACCAATGACCACCAACATTATATCATCATCTGTCATCATGTCGCCACGAAAAAGAACCCTGGTCCCTGTCAGCAGCCGGAGGAAAGCAGCGGACGACTACTTCCCCTTCAACTTTCTGCCGGTGGAATGCCAGCTGCACGTCCTGTCCTTTCTGAACGAGGTGGATAAATGCAGCTGTGCTCTTGTCTGCCTCAGCTGGAGCTGCCTGGTCCGCTCCTGGAAGCTGTGGCGGGTGGCCGACTACTCCCGGCGCGGGGTCTTCCACCTGGGCCAGGAGGGGCTGCTGGTTTCGAACCGGGAGTTTGAGCGCTGGAAAGCCTGGGTCCACCACTACACCCACCACCTGGTGTCCCGCAGGGCCAGCCTGCTCACGCTGAAGGCCAGCTTCGACCTGGGGGACCGCTGCAACAAGTGGAGCGAGCTGCTGGGCCACTTGCTGGACCACGTGCACTGCAGAGACCTCAGCCACCTGGACCTGAACTGGACCTTCACCCTGCTTGAGCCGTTGGACCTCAGGGTGCATTCCAGCTCCAGCTCGCACCAGGACAGCATCACCAAGATGGACCAGGTAACTGCGCTCACTGATTAATTAAACGGATTTACTTAAAACAATGGCGGGTGCTTTAGCCTTGTAGTATTTTTCCTGATCAGCCTGCCCAATTCAATTAATATGACCAAAAAGACAGTAAAGTCAAAGTCAACTTTATTATCAATTTCTCTGTGTGTGTGATACAAACAGGGAGATCGAAATGCCGTTTTTCACCGTCCCCAAGAATTAGAAAATATAAAAATATATGTGTATAGTTACATACATACACACCCGAACACCCACTTAAATATATATATATAGACACATATACTGTACATACTTTATACACACTTTAAGAGGTAATAATATTTTTATATATATAAACAGATTAGTGTCACACAATTTATAGATTTAACAATTGAACAATAATGTGTAATAAGTAATCTTACACGTTTTTGATATGCTTGAATCCCATTATGAGTGGAAAGGCTTCTTAGTAGAACTGCACTATTAATTGAAAATGCTTAGCTACTGTGGTTGACAGTAATACTACAAATTCTACTTAATCCAAATCAGGTTTAATGCCTGGTTCACACATACATTGAATTGGCTTTTGTGTATAATGGTGCATACATAAACGGGGTCAGATGAAGAAAGCAAATGTCGAACTATTCTAATACTATATAATAATATGATTCTATAATGATGTGATATTTCCTCCATGCACATTCCACTGTTGCACAAGTCTCATGTGTAGTTTATATGTTTCCAGACAAACTGCAGAAGGTTTTTGTAAAATAGTGAACCCCAAAGATCCAGAGAGGATCAGATATGATTTATTGATCCCAAATTGGAAAAGTATTTTTTACAGCAGCATATTAACAAGGCATTTCACATGAGCTTTAAATACAATGAAACAGATTACAATTAAGGCAAAAATAGAAATAAGTAAATATATACACATCAACAGCAGAAAAATATACAGCTCTGGAAACCACTCCATATTCCTAAATCTCAATCTCTAGATGTATGGCAGCCATTCCATTCCAGTGTCTGTTGAATTCCTTTTATGTTCATTTTACTCAAACGCATACCTATAAATTGTTATTTTTCCAGAGCTGTGTATCTAAGAAAGAATGCACAATGAAAGATACACTTCATTGATCCCCCTAGGGGGAAATTCAGTTTTAGACCAATCTCATAATACACAAATATAAACATATATACTATGTAAAAGTGTGAATTACAGTTTTCTAAATGTAACATTTAGATGCAGTGAGGTAGTGTGAGTGCAATATATGCACAATTTTGTAGGGTCCTCAGTGTTTCCCCTAGGATGGAGTCATAGCAGCGGTGCTAAGGCACGTGGGCCCAGCATAATGTGAGCGTGGAGCGCGTGGAATTTTTTAGTGTGTGCGCCCTGCCAATTTGTTTCTATGTGTCTGCCAGCACAAGAAAGGCTCTTGAGGCCTAGTACCAGGGCCGGTTCTAGCCAATTTGCTGCCCTAGGCGAGATTTTAGTTAACAGTTAACATTTATTTATTTATGCATATTTTTGTATCTCTCCAACTTTAAACGATATTTTTGGTTTACTGTCCTATAGTATACATTGGAATGATTTCAAACCTGTTTTTATTTATCCTAATAATTATAAAGGAGTGCCTTGGAAATATGTGTTTACATAATTTGTGGTCAAAACGTTTGAGACTCACTGAGATAACTTAGACTAAAATGAACTATCTAAACACTCAGAGAGTCCTTTACCTCACTGAGCCTCTCAGTCTGACAGGAGAGCTCTCCTCCACCCTGGTTGTAGAAACATCTACTTCTTATATCCGTTAGCGCTGCTAGCACCAGATTCTAATAACAACAGCGCCGGTACCGGTGCGCCCTCTCTCTCTCTCCCTCGCTCGCTCCCACGCTCGCACTTTGGCTGTGAGCTGCGGGCGCCTGATAAGCCAACATCCCCCACTTTCATCAGTTACAGCGCCCATCGTACAGGGCAAATGAAACGTGTAACCGAGGTGAAAAGGGTGTTCAATTTACTTAATTATGAATGTTGTTACATCAAGGCCGAAAATTAGGATGAGCGCCAACGGTCAAAAATGTTTTTTCCCCTCCCAGAGCTGCCAGCGCAGCGCCCCCCAGATCTGGCGCCCTAGGCGACCGCCTATGTCGCCTATGCCTTGCCTAGTACATACAGTGGCAATGTCTCAAGATTTAGCAAAAATACACCTTTATTGGACATACAGTAACACAAATACTACAAATCCACATAACAAACAATCAAAAATGAAAAAGGGTCGCCACTTATTATTATTTTAATAATAAAAAAAAAAAAGTTAAAAAACATTTTTATTTTATTTTATTTTTTTGGGTACCTGGCCGGCGCCCCCGAGCAGTGGCGCGCATATTTCAGCAGCGGCGCTGCGCCGCCACTATTTGTATATAGGGGAAACACTGGTCCTTGAAAGAAAAAAAGTAACTATGGAGAATATGCAAAGCTCTGCAGAGGAGGTGTGCGTAACCATGGCAAAAATATGGCATGAAACTAAATCTGGACGGAGGTTTTTCACTGCAGACGTTTGACTTGTCAAACACAGCAGTTGGTTTGATTCAGGTTTAGCTTATTTAGTTGTACCTGTAGGGAGCTTTTGTTTGCAGTAAAGATACACGGTATCCATTTTGCGTTTCAAACAACACAGGCCAATCGTTAAAAAGTATCCTAGGCTCCATCATATTACAAAACCACTAAAAAAATCTGGCAACTTTGCTCATTTTTTTACTTACCCTTTCCACCAGATGATTTTATAAATTCTATAAATATAATTTTTGGGAGTGATAATGTGGATGTTTGTTTGTCTTCAAGAGGGCAGCTTGTCAGAAATGTTGGAACTGCTGTAGTTATGTGTTCTTGGTCATACCAATATACAGACAATTCTCCAGGAAACTAACCCATGGTTGACCTGTTTGTCTGACTTGGCAGGTGACCAGTTTCCAGGAGCTGCTGACCAAACTCACCGACAGCTGCCCCCGCATCTCAAAGATGCGTTTACACTTCGACTGGTCGGACGTGTCCATGTCGCTGCTCACCAACTTCCAGCAGCTTCGAGTCCTCGAGCTCAAGTACTTCTGGGTCTTCAAAGGAGTGACCCCGTCGACACTGCAGCACCTTACCAAGTCCCTGCCTAACCTGAAGTCCCTGACTCTACAGATCCTGGTGCCGCTGAGGAACCTGGGCATCTCGTACACTCTGGAGTCTCAGTCTCTAGAGTTCCTGGACGTGTCCCCCAGCCGAGGCTTGGTGTTCTCCTGCCTGAAGCTTCCCTCCCTGCGCGAGCTTCGCGCCAAGAAGATTGTGCGAGGCATCACCCTGGACCGGAGGACCCGGCTGAGGATCCAGAGCCGCTGGCCCTGTCTGTACCACGTCCTGCGGGAGGGCACGCCTCGGCTCCAGGCCCTCAACAATGAGAGGCTCCTCCCCACGTGGAGAGAGGAGAGATATGGGGAGATGTCGGCCATCCTGGAACAGTCCTGTTACTGTGTGCAGCATCTAGACAGCTGGCTCTGGTAGCACATTGCAGCAGTGACCATTAGCAATAAACCGTTTAACATGTGCGTCCCCTTTTGAAATAACATGGGGTGTTTCTCAATATCGAGGAGGCTTGCTTGGTAGCACATGTACCTCCGAGTGACTTCCTTCAGAAGCGAGGCAAGAATACCTCCAAGCCTCGTAAAACGAAGAATGGAACAGGCTAGCAAGTGTGCAGGTGTGCGTCATATGAGAGGCCCCACCTTACATTTTCCGCCAAAGATTTTGGACATTGGTCCGTGCGCAAAGCATTGTGGGGATTTTAAGACCGCGGAGTCTACACATGTGCAGCCTCGAAATTTCTCGCAACGAAGTACGCCGGCCTCGGTAGAATTCCAAGTATCCTGGACATTTGGAACAGTCCTTCGGCGGCACTTGATGACGTAGCATCAGTGGCGACTGGTCATTAGGGGCAGGTGGGGCACAGCCCCACCTAGTGTCAGCAGAAAGTATTACAAATAATGATTACAAAAAATGCAAAAAATTAATTAAAAAATATATAAAATATATTTTAAGATCATGTTTAATCATCTGATTCGTCTGTACATTGCTGTTTTAGTCTGTGTTCTTCTAATTAGTGTCTACAGTGTGTGCCTATTGAGCTTTATATATACAGTCTATGCTATTGAGCTGTTTAGAGCCATGTGGGACAAAACCTGATCATGCCCCTCCCTCTCACTGTCTGAGTGAACGGTGACTGTAAAAACTACACTGCGCATGCTCAGAGTATTTTCCTATTTAATGTGTGTGGCAAAAAAATAATGACCATAGGGGCACTGAGCTGCCATCCCCACCATACGTCATCTCACATAATTCAGAGCTGATTGGCTGTAAGTACGTGTGCCGCGAAAAGTGTGGTGTGTGAAGAGGAGACGAGAGAGCTGCAGTGACGCGTCCTTAAACCCGGAAGTAAGCTGCGCATGGCTTCCCTCGACAAAAAAGCAATGAGATTTCTCCAGAGGATTTTAGAAAATAGCTGTAAATAAGATCTGTGGGAAACGTACCTGTTAGATAAATGCACGTTTTGTTCAGCCGGATAATATAACATGTCTACCCTACTTTTATAATTTTTGAATCATAAATCTATCGATTAGATTTATGATAGACTTTTGAAACTACAAGAAGATAAGGAGGACTTTTACAAAAAAGTAATAGAAATGTTTGTCCAGAGGGATAGACAAATGGAATTCATCTTCAAGTCAAGGTAAGACCGCAATCTTATTGAAAATGGGATCTTACTAAGAGAGAACAATTCAATATTTAAATGATAAAATTACATTTTTTGGGTATCCTTTTGTTGAACTGTCTGTTTAAAATTAATCGAAGCATCAGACAAAAAAATAATATTATATTTTGGTTTCGGTCAAAATATAATATTTGTAAACCTGAAGAGTCAGTGCCAGTGCCTCACCAGCCATGAACCTCACTGCACGTCACTGCAGAAGCTTATATATAGACATCTAAGTTTTTTGTGCCCCACCACTTTTGTACATATAAAAACGCCACTGCGTAGCATCCTTGAAATAGTGGCTCTGGAGCAGCTTTACTCGACATTGAGAAACACCCATGATGTGACATGGACATGGTTATGGTGGCCGAAAGGCGCAAACGCTCTACATGACGCAAAACATTTCCATTAGGAGAAACCATGCTAATATAAAAAGACAAATGTGCTAAAACAAATGCAATGAAGAAACATTTTCACTAACTTGACAACACATGCAGCATTTAGAAAACATTCCCCAATGTGAAGAAACATGCGCAGCGTTTACTAAAATAGCTTGAAACACGAAACTCTGCAAGAAGCTCAAAAACACAACAGAAACCAGGGGACACCAAAACGTGACATGTGTTGTCAGGTTGGAGAATATGTCTCTTCATGTGTTTTGGCACATTTGTGTTTTTTTATCTGCATCGGTTCTAAAGCTGCATTGAGTTTCTCCTGATGGAAGTGTTGTGGGTTGTTGTAGCGCGTTAGCACCTGTTGGCCACTGTACATGGTTGCACATAGTACACAAAATGATCGTCGAAATAATTCAGCAGTTTTTCTTTTTTAAATTCTTTAACAGGAAGTTACAATCGAAAACAAGTCTAAAACTTTTATTTAGATTGCCCATTATCTCCAAAAGTGCTTCATGCTAATTGCACTCGGGCAAGAATTAATATCATTTTATTGGTACAAATGACATAATTAATTCCGGTTCTTGATAATTCCTTAATGAATTGAACTTTTCCACTGTTTTAACAAAGCTATATTTACCTATGTTAAATCAATACCTTCCTGGGATTGTAGCCCATGTTGTATGGACAGATGTTTCTGGTGTTTGAACTACTACTATTACTTGAAAATGAGCTTTGTACAGATATTACAAGTGGAAGTGTTGTCATCTTTCTTCGTGAATTGAGGCCACACTTTGGACCCTTTCTTCCTCTCAGCCAGGACTTCTTCTTGCTGACATTTCTAGAAGTCTAGACGCATGCCGAAAAATGATAAAATCACTTGAAAAATAGGGGCTGAATAATACCGATGGATTCACAATTTTGGATTTGGATTCTGCTCCCTATGCACTGTGTTGTAATGGCCTGGATTACTTTTTCAACATGAACTACAGCTCTACCTGAAGTGTGCATGGTCCATGTACCATACATGAGACTAGATGATGTGTAATGGCTGCTTAGAGTTGTGAAAATTGCCTTTTTAAATGAACTAAAAGACAAAATTGTGAGAGAGAACTAGGGAATAATGTATGTGCTGTTTTAAATGTCATTCCTTTTTTAACCTGAACCCCAGCTGAAATCTGTGCTTTTGCAGTTTACATTCTAAACAGTAGAGGTCCTTATTGTCAAAGATGGTGATTTGTTACAGCAGTGTGTGTACACATGCAGTTGTAATCCTTTCACTTCAGTTCTTGTGCTCATGTGTTGTACGTGTGGCAGGTGTGTGCTTGAGGCTCGTCACAATATTTCGATGCACATACATGTGAGATTTGGTTGAGATGATGAAAGTTTTGAATGTAGAACATTTCACAAGATTCCTCATAAAGAACTGTATTCAATCTCGTCATTCACACGCAATTCTTTATTTCACAAGCACCATTAACGGTTTGACAGATGAAGGCTCTGATCCCAGAGATGACCCCCTGGTTTCTGAGAAAAAAATTCCTCCTGAGCCAAGCAAATGCATAATGTGGGAGTAGAAGAACCTGGCATTCTGACACATGCATTATCTGGGGACATTTCGCAGAATAAGAAGTGATAAATTGAATTTCCTGGGGAATTTTTTCTTGGGTCACATTTAATGCGGAGGGGTGTGGTGCAGTGGGTTGTGCGTTGGTGTTCGGATCAGGGGGTCACGGGTTCAAACCCCACTGCAGTCAGCATGTCGTTGTGTCCCTGAGACACTTCACCCCAAATTGCTCCTGTGGGGATTGCCCACATTATTGAGTATGTAAGTCACTTTGGATAAAAGCGTCTAACAAGTAACATGTCATGTAATGTAATGCACATCATTACGGCCGTTAAACAAAGGTAATGCCCCTCCACCTGGCTCCAGTCTCTGCCATGGTATCTCATTGTTTGAGACATCTTATTGTTTCAATATGGTCAGGTTGGTTTGATTTCCTAGATCCTGCAACAGGAACATCTGTTCTCAGTACAAACATCCGTCGGCGCACCCTGCTCAGGGCCCATTTTCTCCTGCACTGTTGCCATTTTGCCTCTGATGTTTCCTCTCCTGAGGTGAGTAATTATGTGGGTGTTGTGGAGGCGGTGGTCGTGATCTCCTGAGGTTGGGCATTTCTAGCTAATTTCCTAAAACACTTTAGATCCTCCTCCTCTTTTCTCTCCTCTCTTATCCAACCCCTCCTCCTATCCTCCCTTCACATACTTCTCGTTTCTAGGTCAGGATCTCTGTTGACATGTATCTTTATTGAAGCCATCATCTGACCCCCCGTGCATTGCGGTTTTTACCAGGAGCCATCACTGCACCCTGAACCTCTGGACACCTTCCATTCCAAGCTTCTTCTGAAGGACTATTACTCACCAGCAGCTCATTTTCTCCATTCAGGCGTGTGATTATTGTGATCGTAGTGAGGGAATGTGTGATGAGTGCAGTTTAGGGAAAGTGTTTCCTGAAGTTTACCTAACCCCTTTATTAGTGGCAAGACCTCAGAAAACCACCTCCAGATGTTTGAGAGGACAATCTGACCGATTATTTACAACACGGCCAGTGAACATCGCCCTCTTCACACGGACGCTTACTCTTTGCTCCTTTGGCAATGCCCGAGTTAATGCTTAATCTAAGTACAGAGTCGTAATTGCTAAGGCCAAGCCCAGTTCACGGGAAGGAGGTTACTTGGTTGTGAACAGATCACTGCAGACCAGAGGCACTCAAGCTGAGGGACTCATCGGACTCATCTCTTCCTGACAAGCACCTTCAGGACAGACCACCATGTCTAAGAGCTCCTCGGTCACCAAGGCTTTCGCCGCCGCCTTCGTCGTCCTGACGGTCTCCGCCATAGCAGGCATTGTCACCATGGTCATTTTGTACAAAACCCAGATCGCTACAATGAATCCCACGCCCCGGCCGACTTTCCCTTCCACCACCACGGGTCTACCGCCCGTCATGCGGCTTCCGAAGAACCTCGTCCCGGAGAGATACAAGGTCTTCCTCTGGCCTCGCTTCTACAGCCAGATCATCGAGGAGGTCAATGTCACCAGCGCCAACCAGACGTGGCACTTCTCTGGAAACACCACCGTTTACTTTCATTGTGTCCAGGGCACAAGCTCCATCTACCTCCACAGCCAGTTCCTGGATGTGTATGGTCCAGTGGTGGCGAGCACAGACACAGATGAAGGGATCCGTGTTACCAGAATGGAAAACCACCAAGACCAAACTAACTTCCTGGAGATCGAGTTGGATTATGCTTTGAAGAAGGGGGGGAACTACAGTTTGTTTCTGGCTTTCAGAGGAGAAGTATCAGAGTGGCTCTATGGGATGTATGTTAGCACATATAAAGAAGGTATCCCAGCTCATGAAGACGATACAGATACAGACAGGTGGGTACAAAGAGTTTAAAGCTTTTGAGTGTATGTGTGAAGAATTAGTGATAATGGCTTA